AGAAACTTTCTAATTTCTTCTTTAATTTCCTCTGTGACCCATTGGTTTTTCAGGAGGGTGTTGTTTAATTTACATATGTTTATGTGAGTTTTGAGGTTTCTTATTTTATTGATCTCCAATTTTTTTGTACTATGGTCTGATAATATACAGGGGGTAACCTCAGTTCTTTTACATTTACTTAGATATGTTTTATGAGCTAGCCTGTGGTCTGTTTTGGAGAATGACCCATGTGCAGCCGCAAACAATGTGTATTCTGATTTTGTGGGGTGGAATACTCTGCAAATATCTATTAAGTCCATTTGTTCAATAGCTTGGTTAAATTCTAGAATTTTGTTGTTAATTTTTTGTCTAGATGATCTATTCGTGATAATGGGGTATTGAGGTCCCCCACTACAATTGTATTAGTGCTTATTTGGTTTTTCATGTCCAATAATATTTGTTTTGTATAGTTGGGGCATTCATATTTGGTGCATATATATTTATGATTGTCATCTCTTCCTCTTGGACTATTCCCTTCACAAGAATGTAGTGACCATCTTTGTGTCTCTTAATTAGTTTTGGTTTGAAGTCTACTTTATCTCCAAATAAAATTGCTACCCCTGCTTTTTTCTGAGTTCCTGTGGCATGGAGAACTGTTTTCTATCCTTTTACTTTCAGTCTGTGTATTTCTCTTTGAGTTAAGTGTGTTTGTTGTATACAGCATATTGCTGGATTTTGCTTCTTAATCCATTCTGTCAGTCTATTTCTTTTGATTGGTGAATTGAGACCATTAACATTGATAGTTATAATTGATAGATATTGACTCATCCTTGTCATGATGGTTTACTATTGTTTGCTATTTTATTTCTTATTTTTTTCCCATTTTTCTTTTAGTTTCTTATCTTGCCTGGTGGCTTCCCTCTGTTGTGCCTCATGGAGTTGTGACCTTCATTGTCTTTTTCTAGGATATTGCTTAGAATTGTTTGGAGTGCTGGTTTGGTGTTCATGAAATTTCTCAGCTGTTATTTATTGTGGAAGTATCTAATTTCCTCATTGATTTTGAAAGATAATTTTGCAGGATACAACAGTGTAGGTTGGAAGTTATTTTCTTTAAGGGCCTGAAATACTTAACTCCTGGCTCTCCTTGACTTGAGGGTTTGTGTTGAGAAATCTGCTGTGATTCTGATGGGCTTTCCTTTGTAGGTGATTTATTTCTTTTGTGTAACTGCTTATAGGATTTTGTTCTTCTGTTGGGTTTTTGGGATCTTGACTATTGTATGTCTAGGTGTAGATTTTTTTGATCATAGCTAGTTGGAGTTCTATATGCCTCACTTACCTGTATGTCCACTTCTCCACCTCTGTCTGGAAAGTTTTCTATTATTACTTCTGTGAACAGTTTTTTTATGTCAATTGTACTTTTTCTTGTTTTTTCATGGATACCTATCAGTTTTATGTTATTGTTCTTTGCATCATCTAGCAGCTGCTGGATTGATTTCTTGTGGCCCCTTACTATTTTTAAGAAATCTCTGTTTTCATGGTCCTTAACCACAATCCTGT